GAGGGAGGAGGAGAGGAGGAGGAGGAGCAGGAGGAGGAGGAGGAGGAGGAGGAGGAGGAGGGAGGCGGAGGAGGGGGAGGAGGAGGAGGAGGAGGAGGAGGAGGAGTCGCAGGGAGAGGGAGGGGAGGGCGACGGGAGAGAAAGGTAGGAGGAGGAGGAGGAGGACGAGGACGAGGAGCAGGGGGATGAGGGCCCTGCCAGGACTACCTGCGAGCCATGCTCACCAGGGACGAGAAGGCCCGTGCGTCCTCCGAGGACGCTGGCGGCGGGTCGCTCTCCTCATCCTCCATCCTGCCCTGTCCTCTTCGGTGTGTTCCTGCTCCTCCGCCCCTCACCCTCGCCCATCCTCATCCTCACTTGCCCGTCGCTGGGCAGCGCTGGCCCGTGCCCGCACCCTCCGCGGCGAGGAGATCATGGTGCACAAGTGGGTGGACCACGGCAGGGGCACCGCGCCGGCCAGCCTGTCCGCGTCCTCGCCGCACCCGAGCACCGAGAAGACGCGGCGCACGTCGGACGACGTGACCGCCATGAGGGGGGGGTACACTTCAAGTCGGGCATGTCCCTCTGCACGAGGGATGTTCAAGACATGCAAACACATAGTCAGGGGACGATCTTTTCAGTATGTTTGGTTTTTGTTTGAGCGTTGCTTGGCAATGTTTCCATGTTTCGTCCAAAATCCGCCTGTGTCGGGACATGCCCGACCTAAGGGTAGCTCAGCAAGGAGGGGGTGGCGAAGAGGGAGAGAATTCCTTCAGGCCAGACCTCTTCAGAGATCCGAAGCACGGGCCACGGCGGCGATAGATCGACCACCCTTACCCCCAGGCCCGTCCCGGGGCCCAGGGCCAGGCTTGATCTCCAGAGCTGTAGCTGCTGCCGCACAGTCCAGCTTCCTCTTCCCCACTGCCGTGTCCCGCACGTGGCGACGAGGGCCCAGCCGTGGTGGCGAGGAACCCGACGGAGGGGTCGCGACAACGGTGGTTGGCCTTCGGGGGGCCGCCGAGTCGCCACGCTCGGATGCAGCTCGGGCAACGGATGCGTTTGGACCTCGGGAGGGGTCCGGGGACCGACTTTAAGCTGCCGTGGTCTCAACTCGCCCTGCTCCGACAGGGTGAGGAGGATGACGGAGGGTTGGGTGAGCAGGCAGGGAGGAGGAGGGCGGAGGAGGGCGAATGAGGGTGGAGGGGGGGCATGGAAAGGGGTGAGGGAGAATGAGGGCGAGGATGAGGACGAGGAAGGGGAGGAGGAGGAGGAGGAAGACGACGAGGAGCAGGAACAGGAGTAAGAGGAGGAGGGCGGAGGACGAGCAACAGGATGTGCAGGGGAGCAGGGAGTAGGGGGAGGGAGGAGCGAGGAGCAATGATCGAGGAGGGATAGGCTGCGGAGGGGAATGAGGAATTGATTGGAGAGGCCTTACGGCCGGCTCCGCTGGCCTTGTAGGGGGATCCGGAGGCCTTGGGGAGGCCGCGAGGGAGCCGAGAAGCGCACGAAGGCAGGTCGACGACTATGACAGGACGGCTTCGGCAGCACCTCGAGGCGGGAGAAGAGACAGAGCATGGTGCTGCCTCTGTTTGGTGGCCTTTGGCCCACTTCATCCCGCCGCTGATCATGGCGCCAACATCGCAGAGCGGATTTCGCTCGGAAAACAGTCGGATGGGACCGGAGTGCCCTGGAGAATTTCGTTCCGGATTTCGAAGTGAGTTTCGCGTGGTTTTCTGGTTGGAACAGGAATGAAGACTAAAGAAAAGCCACGTGAAATTCACGTCGTTTTTCGCTCGCCGTTTCGGGGTGGTGCATTGACAGAGAAATCCACGCAAAAATCCGCTCGTGGACCAGCGACCTCTTGAATGCATGTGAGGGTCTCTTGGGCTGCCTCTCGGAGACCTCTTGAGGGGCTCTTGGGGTTACGTCGGGCGCGTGCCCCTCTCCAGGAGGGATATTCCAAACACAGTTAAGACATAGTCGGGGAACCTGTTTTTCTCCGTATGCTTTGAATCTGGTTTGATTATTTTGGGGGCATCTGTCGGAGAATCGCGCCGCATCGCCGATGCATCGCCGATGCGGCTCGATGTCGAGCCTGATGTGCTTCACGCCGACGTCGCCCATGCATCGACCACGTCGACGATAACTCGCTGGTGCATCGCCGATGCATCGCCGATGTATCGGCGATGCGGCGCGATCCTTCGACCCCATCTACTCCGACCCCGTCTAGGAGGCCTCTAGATGCCCAGCAGCAGTGCCTGTCCATTTTGAGCAGGACTCGCTGTCCTCGCCGCCGCGGACGTTGTTCGTTGAATACCAAGAAGCCGCCTGCCCAACAGCGAGCTAATCTTGGGGGCCCTGGGAGGGCCTCCCGGGGGCCTCCTGCCCGCCGGCGGCCCCGGCGGGCCTCCTCGGGCAGAGGCCTCGGAGCGTCAGTTCGCGTGCCCCGTCGGGGCCCCTCCCTGGAGCAAGCAGGAGGGAAAAAAACACAGGCACAATTCATCGTCGATCCCTAAGAAAATATGGGGTGGGAATTGTGCGGGAAGACAAAAACCCAGATAATATAGGAAAATATTGGAAATATTGTTATGTGTGTGTATTTATTTGTGTGTCCGTGGGCCCCTTGAAGCAAGCAGTGGCGAAGCGTCCTGGCGTGCCTATAGGCCTGCCGAGCAGTGTTCTAAGAACCCTGTGTGGTCTCCACGACGTGTTCTTAGAACATCTGGCTGGGACGGTCCTGTTTTGACACGTCGGGCTCTGTTCTGAGGGCAAGATTTTTGGGGTTCTACGAGCATTTCGTGGTAGGCATATAGGAATGTCGGGACTGTCGGTCCCTGCTCAACTTGAGGCCTCCTTGGTCTGTATTGGGGCCTTCTTGGGCCGTCTTGGGGCCCTCTTTGGGGCTCCTTGTGCCTCCTTGGGGCAATATTGCGGGCCTCTTGGAGCGTCGTGGAGCGGTGGAAGACCGAACGTCCGAAACGAGACAGTCCTTCAAAAGCCTTCGACAACTCAATCTCATTTGCGCCTTGAGGCCCTGGTGGGAGTCCCATTATGGCCCTCTTCGGGTGAGGAGTAGAACGGGGGGAGGAGGGGCTAGTGGCGACGGCGACGAGGGAGGATGAGCGGGAGGAGGGAGCTGAATGAGGTGGAGGAGGGAGACGCCCCCGTGCTACTCGGGAGGGGGTGGGGGAGGGCAAATGCACGGGGGGGGGGGAACATCCCCCCCCAGGACCATCTCCCACCCTGGGGAAGGGACACAGGGAAGGGGCTTCCCTTGTACGCGAACTGCCACTGTGTTTAGATGCTCGTTTGGGGAACCTTCCTGGGGCCCACCTACCGGATCTGTTCGACTCGAATTTCGACTCAAGTTCGACTCAAATTCGCACAGGCGAGCTTGATCGAGCCCTGGTAGGATTTCAATCGAGCTGAAGCAGACCCTAGTGGCAGGACGCGATCCGTGCCTGTTCGCACCGACCCCCCCTCTCGGATTCGAGCCAGGGGGGGGGGGACGCGGGGCTGCAGAATCCCCCCCCCCTGGTTTCCAGAGAGGGGGGGATGATCCCCCCCAGTTCCCTCAGGAAAGGGGGGGATTTGCCGCTCTACCCCTCCCCCCTCCCCCCCTCTCCCCCTCCCCGTTTTCCCAGAGGGGGGGGGTGGGTCTTCCAGTCAGGCGACGGCAGGTCGCGTTCCGTCCATGCTCCGTGTCCCTCCCTCGCGCACCTTTTCTTCGTCCCTGCTCCATGATTGCGTGGGCGCGGGATGCCATATTTCTCTGCATGCCTTGATGCTTATGCCCATCCTATTACATGTGTATAGACACTGCGTCTCTCTCTCTCTCTGTCTCTCTCTCTCTCTCTCTCTCCCTGTCTATAGAATTACATGTAACTTTATATACGTAGATTATGGTTTATGCATCTTCGCATTTGTCTATGAACAGGGTGTGTACTTGTTTCTATACGTGCGTTTGATTTCTTCTTGTGCATGGTTGCACTGCATGTCTTGCGCTACCGCGTGCCGAGGGGCTGCGAATAGTAGCAGCGTTTTTCCTCGGCATGGTTGTCTGTACCGTTGATAGCTCTGTCTCTGCACCCTTGCGCCCTGGCCTCCTCCTGAACCGAGGAGGTGGAGGAGGAGGAGGAGGAGGAGGAGGAGGAGGAGCGGAGGCGGAGGCGGAGGCGGAGGAGGAGGAGGAGGAGGAGGAGGAGGAGGAGGAGGAGGAGGAGGAGGAGGAGGAGGAGGGAGGGGGAGGAGGAGGAGGCGGGGGGGAGTGTGAGGAGGAGGAGGAGGGAGGAGGAGGGAGGAGGAGGAGGAGGAGGGAGGAGGAGGAGGAGGGAGGAGGAGGAGGAGGAGGAGGAGGAGGAGGGGAGGGGGGTGGGAGGAGGAGGGGCGGGGGGAGGAGGAGGGGAAGGAGGAGGATGAGGAGGAAGGAGGCGGAGGAGGAGGAGGAGGAGGCGGAGGAGGGGAGGGGGAGGGGGAGGGAGGAGGAGGAGGGAGGAGGAGGAGGAGGAGGGAGGAGGCAGGAGGAGGAGGAGGAGGAGGAGGAAGGAGGAGGAGGGAGGAGGGAGGAGGGGGAGGAGGAGGAGGCGGAGGAGGAGGAGGAGGAGGAGGAGGAGGAGGAGGAGGAGGAGGAGGAGGAGGAGGTGGAGGAGGAGGAGGAGGAGGGGCGGTGGGAGGAGGAGGAGGAGGAGGAGGAGGAGGAGGAGGAGGAGGAGGAGCTGCCTCGGCGGCAGGTGACGGTGACGATGGCTCCGGGGGCCGACGGCAAGAACAACCAGGACGAGAAGATGGGCGGGGGCCTCAGCTCCGAGCCGGCCTCCGCCCGCCCACCCCAGCGGCGCGAGCGCCGCTTGGCTTAAGTCGGGCGCGTCCCTCTCTACAGGAGGAGATTTCAGAGATAGGCCCAGCAGGAGGACACTTCGGAAATAGTTTAAAACATGGTCTGGGGACGCTTTTTTTACACAACATGTTATTTCTCATGATTCCGGAGGATTTTTGGGAGGACAAGGTCCGCCTGTAGCGGG